TGTAAGACTCATGTCAGCAGAATTTCTGAACTCCAAGCGCAGCCTAGACCTACATCAAGAGAGCACGGTTGGGCTATGATGTCGGCCCTGGCATATCGGGCAATGTCGGTCATTATGACATAGTGGCTTATACCGTCCCTCGGATTAAAGTGCTTTTTCCGGTTTGCTCCTCCTTAGTTTGTCACTTTTCTGAGGTATACATGGAGGATGGCTAGGACTTGGGAATCCCTTAAAGGTATCCTGTGAAGGGAGCGGAGGTGTTGATTTGCTCACTGTCGTTTAAATCAAGTGACAGGTTTCCGTGTTGACTTGTTCTAGTGCTCTTACTAAGTTTTTCTTCGTCATTATCGTGAAACGTCATTTGCTGTGTTCGTTGGAGTAACGGGTTCGCTTAGTGCTCTAAAGTGCTGGAAACCTCTCCACGTGGCACGTCTGAAGCAACAACACAGCATTCAATTGCGACTATGTACGTCTGCCATGTTAAGATCTGGATATAAATGGGTTTCTAAGAGATAGGCTCTTAAACCGTGGCCCGATTGCTGCGGTATACAATATTATTGTACGCCTGGGCCCTCAGGTTCACCTCAGACCCCTCTTTCATACCCCTTTCGGTAGGGGTGAGTTCTTGAGGTCGTTTCTGTTCAGGTAGGTCATCTAGTATAATCTACGAACCTCGTCCGTTCCGAAGGTGGTGCAGGTTCGGGGTATTCTGTAACTGAGCTGTCCGAATACTCAGATAACTCTGGGTCTTTGTCGTTCGGTGGCACCTCTAGCCTCGGCGGTACAGTGTTGAGCATCCGTTCTACAGATTGAGAGAAGGCCTGTCCCAGTGTAACACCCTCCGGCAATCCTGCTTTTGCCCACTCGTCAATGTAATCAAGATCAGCGTCGGTGAATTCATGGCTTTCTTCTATAGTCCTTTGAGGGTGATGTGTGGGATAGTCCACTGGATCTGATTTTGTGTTCATGCTGGCTTCTTCATCTTGTTCCTGCTGGGCTTTTGGTCCCTGTGACTGTCCAATTTCTTTCTCAGAGAAAGTCGGTCCTCCTTGAGAGATGGGGCCGTAGTCACTGGTCGGCCTGCGGCTCCTTGAGGCACGGATTGGCAACGGACGTGAGTCTCTGCGGGTCGGGCCCTCATCCAAGTAGACGGTATTGGTAGCGGTGGGAGGTCGCTCGTCGGAAGCACGCGATATTGTGGCCCCTGATGTCTTTGGAATCTTGCCCGTCATTTCCACTCGGTGGATTTGCGACTTGAGATCATCCAGCTCGTCCCATACTGTCGAGGGTTCTGTCGTAGATGCGATCGTCGTTGACTCGGTTCCCTCCACTCCATTTGCAGCCGTGCTGACCTGGTCGCCGCCATCATTGCGTTCCAGCTGACTGAGATTGATTTCATCGCCATCCTGACACTGGATTTCGGCTCCGCCAATCTTGAGGACTGCACTGCCAGTTATTTTGATGGTGATATCCTCGCTTTCGATAGCACTATATCGCGTTGTCCGTGTTGTGGTGCCCCGTTGGTAATCGCTCTCATCACGGCCACTATCGCCGGAGGAGCTGTCCTGGTATCTTCTTGGCTTTTTAAGAGCTTCGGTAGTTAGGGGCTCTGCGGAACTTCCACGAGCAGACCATGGGTCTGACTGTGCCTCCTGAAGCCTAGCTTCGGAGTTGGATTCTCGAACGTTAACGGGACGTCCTTGCGGCTCGTATTCTGGCAAAGGATCTCTGTTTCGTCTCGGCACGTCCTCCCTGAACTTTTCCAACTCATTTTCCAAAAACATCGCATGCGTTGTCCACTTGTCTGCTGCAGATCCCAAATCCAACCTGCTGAGAATACGAGCTGCAGCTTCGTCGAACTGAGCTGGGGACATCTCCGGATGCCTTTTTAGGTACATCTCACGTTCCTCGCCCTTAAAACTCTGCTTGAGCAATTCCATGAATTGGTCTTTTGTAAATTTCATGCCACCCTTTGCGCTCGATAGCTTCTCTTGGGCTTTCGAAGACTCTTCCGTGTAATTGCTGCTCTCGGAAGATTGTTCATGCGCAGCAGTCGTCTGCTCTTCGATGTAAGTGGTCGGTATCCAGGCAGGCCCTGGCTGCTTCGCGTTCATCGCCAATGACCAACCTGGAAAGGTTAGTTTCCACCACTTTCAACGATTAGATAAGATCCTACCTCCATCATCCTGATGCAGGATGTCAACAAGGTCGCCGCTTTCCACCGTAAGCTCGTTTGATGTTATCCCGGTAAAATCATAGAGCACCTTGGATTTTGTATGTTCTATTTCTGCCTCTTTGGCTTCCAGCGACGCCTCCGCTAAGGGGATCTGAGCGCTTCCACCCTGGTTTTCAGAGTATGTATCGGGCTCTGATTCAAGAGAAACGGTATCAGTAATACCGTCTGTGATGCACTCCAGATCTTCTTGGCTGCAATACCAGCACTGCGACTCGGGAGTACCCTCCAGGCATGGAATCTTTGTACCTTTGATCAGTAACCGCCCCAAAATGATGACTTAGCGCATTTCAACTCACATTTCTTCGACGGCAGTTTCTGCACGCGTTCACAGGACTTCTGGGTGATGGCACTCGCTGCCGGAGATATTCTTCCTCCAAACCACTGTCTATGTCGTCTGGCGGGGAGGATGCTCGGCGCTTATTGCCAGCGCCATCACCAATGCCATGAGCAGTCGCATAGTTTCCAATAGGTTCTTCTGTTGAGCTGATTTCGATATCAACCAAGTTGTCACTAGTCCCTTTCAATGGTCTTTGAGGTGACCGGTTTACTTGATCGTCATCGAAAGGCTGGCGCGTTTGCGTGCTTGCTACTTCGTTGTGAGAAGATTGTTCAGGATTGATCGGTGAGACTTCATCCTCGCTGAACTCTGCCGAGACTGGCTCATCATACCACGAGGAGACGGATCGAGGTGGAGAGGGTGTGAAACCTCTCGGGACTGGAATATCTCCATCTGAGTTCTCTGGAACCTGATCGTTGTGACCTTCCTCTCTAGAGGAGATTGAAAACGATCTAGTTGGGGAGATTGAGAAAGTCCTTGAAGCCAGAGGATCATCCAAACTATTTCGAATCCGGGGTTGTTGAACATCTTCTGTAGGCCCATCCCCTGCGGCAGTGGTTGAAACTTGATTTTGGACAGTTACATCAATCAGTTCCTCATCTTGTGCGCTCAAACTGATGTCGTCTGAATCATGTTCGCTAAGTGAATGGCTCTCTTCGCTGTTTTCATCTTCAACTTCGGTCTGAGGCAAGACAAACAGAGCCAGGTCTTGTTGGTGGTTTCCAACATGTCGGCGGTATTTCTTTAGCGACTTGAACTTTTCTGGACAAAAGGGACATTCGGTGTGGGCATCCTGCGCCAGCGGTTGAGAGCTCAACTCCACGATGCTGTCGACTTTGCTTTCAGGAATCGCTCCACTATGGGCTCTCAGCAAATGGCCTTTGGACTCCGCTGCCGATGAGAAGTTGTTTGGACAACCGCAAGGGCACCGATACACTCGTAAATGATTTTGTAACATATGCTGCATCCACTCGTTGCGTCTTGAGAACTCCCGATCTGGTGCCGTGCAGTGTACGGCAAGACAGTTGTACGGCCGGAGGTCACCAAATACGTGTTTCCTATACGTCATGAGTTATCAGGGGCGCTTCAAAAAGTAAACGTACGACTTTTGACTTACTTCCAGGCCCTAGTATCTTGCACAGAAACAATGAGATAGCAAAAGGGACACATGAACGGTCCTTTGAGGGCATCTTCAGGCATCGGTGGGATTTTTAGTGTTTTTGGGCGTGAGACAGACGTGGCGAAAGAGGTAACTGAGGCTCTTCCATCTGATTGAGTATCGTCGCCCGAGGGATCGATGGGAACCTCTTGCTTCATCTGGAGAGGTATGGATGAAGCAAGGGTGCTTGGAGCGGGAAGTGTTGGTTCTGTCTTGTTTGTGTCCCCGTGGCGGTCTAAACCATGTGAAAGCTTTTGATGATGTGCCTCCCTATATTTGAAGTACTGGCGCCTGCGGGACATGGCTTTGCCCAGACGCTGCGCAAGACGTTCATCAATGTCTTGAAACTTGGCTTGAACGTGTTGAATATCGAATTCCTCAAACGCGGATGTGTCTGTAAAAGTGGAGGACATGAAGCGATCATGAGGTGCCGGGTTCTGGATAGAGACGCTGAGACGCAGGAGACAATCGACTAGTTCTGTAATATCCAGTGCAATTTGCTCCATCTCTGTCTCCGTCTCAAGATCATCCAGCGGTTCTTCATCGTCTTCAGTCTCCTCCCACGGCGTTGCATTTCCGGTCATGATGTCTGCCGCATCTTCGAGAGAGTCCTTGAGATCATTGAGGAGTCTTAAGATCTGTTGTCGAATGTGAGACGCATCGCGGAGGCGGTGCTCGAGAGATGCTCGACCTGTTCGATGTGCGCCGCTATTTCCAGCCCATACTTTAAGACGGGCCAACTCGTCGCCCAGTCTGGGAAGCAGTGATATCCGGAGCGAGAGATCATGGGACTCTCGTACGGTTTCTAAAAGTCGTTTAAGGCCGCTGAGCGCCGCCAAGACAACATCCGCAATACTTTCGGTCATATTTTAGGAACATTTAATACTGCTCCTTATCCAAACAATCGAAGGTTTCCGGGAAGAAAGCCGGAGCGGCTGGGTGGCAGACGGAGCTGAAGCCACAAGTGAAAGATGATGCATGTGATACAGGTGAGGCTCTGCGACTACGAGATGTAGTTAAGTGATGTGAGAGCAGCATTGGAAGAAATGATTGCTGATTGAGACAGCGAGTGAAATCTTGCGTCATCTCAGTAGGATGTATCTGCTGACATTGATAACCCCCGCAGCATGAGCGAATCAAAAGCCGTCAGCATGCAGGTAGCTGGATCAGGCTGGCGCTTACGGTTGGACCAACCTTTCAGCTGAGGGGCAAACAAAGCTCAACATCTTCTGTATTGCATCAATAGATTCATATCTAAGGCATCTGCAATGTCTGGCTTTGAAGTCGCCGGCGTCGTTTTGGGAACAATTCCCCTGCTCATCTCAGCACTTGAACACTACAAGGAGGGCATCTCGACGATTCGGGCCTGGCGTAACTATGATCGCGAGCTCCGGAGCCTGATTCGAAATCTCCAAACTGAACGGGTTAGGTTTCAAGATGTTTGCGAAAAGCTTCTTGTCGGGCTAGTGTCGCAATGTCAGATCGAGTCCATGGTTGATGATCCGTTTGGTCCAGCGTGGCAGGAAGAAAAAGTCCGAGCCAAGATAGAGGCTAGACTATGGAGGTCTTTCAGCAATTTTGAGGACATAATCAAGGATATGGAAGAGGCGACAAAGGAAATGAAGACGAAGCTCGACCTCCAGCCGGACGGCACGGCAAGAGCTCCCTCATTCCCAGGCTACTAAGATACGGCACTTCTGACTCATCTTGTAGATTAAATGGCAGGAAGCAACTTTGATCATCAGGGAGTTCAAGCGCGCCTCTTTCGTTCTGAAGAGGTCAGACCATGCGGAACAGATGGAAATAATCAAGGAAGGGATCAGCAGTTTAGAGTCTGTGATTGACCGAAACATCCAGCTGGAGCCAACAAGGAAATTACGATCCCAAGGGCGACTTATGAGACTCGTCCGGGAGATCTCGGGCAGCGTGTACCGTGCATTGCGCTTTAGCTTCCAATGTAGTTGCGCACATGAGGTTCATCTTGGTCTGGCTTCACGTTCAGTCGAGCTTGCGCAGAAGGATGAGGATGAGGATGTCATACAGAAACTCGATTTCCAATTGGCGTTGACTTACGACAAGAACGAAAAGACAGCAAACGACGAGAAAGAGCAGTACGAACGGGTGGGTTGGGAAGAACTTCGCGTCCAAGCCCTTCCAAGGAAAACAGTTCAGACTTCAGCACCCGTCGGGAGGCCTTCGAAGACAAAGATGTCTGGTATGGGGAAGAGCAAGAGCGTCAGCTTCACCATGTCTCACTCAGCAACTGCCACTGCAACTTGCATTGGGCAGACTTCGACTATGGTTGTTCAGCAGTCGTTTTCATCTTTGAGTATCAGCTCTTCAAACTCGGGGCTGCATGATCACATCAACCTCTGCGAGCGCATTCGTCGGAGTCAGCAGCAGCTCGCTTTCGATTGCTATGGGATGATCAGAGATCGCAGTGGTCAGATGTGCCGGGAGTTTGGCGTCTACCCAAAGTTTGGCTCATACCGCGATCAGTGGTCAGTGATCTCACTGAGAGAGGTCCTAGAGAGCCCGCTGGAGTTCCCACATATGCCGGTGTCAGCGAAGCTACACCTGGCAGCTATGATAGCTTCCAGCTTTCTTCAACTACACCAAACGCCATGGCTTCCCGAAATTCTGACAAGCCGCGATATTTTGTTCTTGAAGAGAGGGGCGGAGCTTCAATACGAGCACGCCTTCGTCATGAAAGGACTACAAGAAAGCCTTGAAGACAAGCAGAAAGGAAACAACTCGGCACCAAGCAGTCGCTGCCCTGCTCTGCTCGCTCTCGGGATCTTGCTGCTGGAGCTGAACCTGGGCCGGACGATTGAATCGCTTCGGATCCAGTATGAGACGCCCCCACCTGGAGCTCCGAAACTGATGTACGACTCCATGACAGCGCAGAGGTTGCTACAGGAGAGGCAGATGGACAGCTTAAATTACAAGAGCGCCGTGCAACGGTGCATTGGGGGAGAATTTGCGCGGCCGAAGCTCGACTTGAATGATGAGGACTTTCGGCAAGAGATATACGAAAAGGTGGTAGCATTGTTAGAGACGGATTTGAAGAACGCGACATGGTCTTTTGATGTGGGCATTTAATAGGCGTCATTGCAGGGCGTTGATACGGAATAGCATCTGTTCATGTGTTGACAGTAGTTGGAAAACAAGAAGCATCGATCCGTAGACTACTTGCACAAGGGAGTGAATCTAATCTAATCCTACTGAAAAACACGCAAGAGGGCCTAACTAAGGCTTTCGGACCCGGAGTCGGTCTTCGGTAGGTGTGGGGCCGACTGCACCGATGGCCTGTGCATTACCCGTCAGTGAGACAGCAAGGTGAGATTTGAGTGAAAATTGACAGATTGCTCCCACACCAAGACCAAATTCACCCATATCTCAACGCAGCAACGCACGGGCTCTGTCAGATTTTGTCAGATTAGGAATGCGTGCGAGCGCTTTCCAAAAATATGAGACGCAAGTTGCCTCGCCTATGCCTTTTCCCAGAATCACGAAAACCGCCCAATTTTCACACAAACGACCAAACATGACAAAAAAAAAACATCAAAACGTCAAAAAGAAACACCTCCAGATGCTCCAAAAGAAAAAACAAATGACCCCAACCCGATTTGAACGGATAACCTTTCGATATCATATCAGAAACGGTCGCAGGACCGGATCTGGAGTCGAACGCGCTACCGTTGCGCCATAGGGCCTCTTGTTGTTGGAGAAGCCGACGAAAATGGCGCATAAGATCCTTCAGACGCACGAAATGCGGGGTCAGAGACCCACTAACACTTTGGAAAGAGCGGCAACCTTATCCAGCACGTGGGTGAATCTCGAATTCAACGGCGACCACCAGTTCGTCTCTGATGGGACCGCCCCCCGCTCCCCGGTTTAAACGTGCAGAATGCGAGTTTCCGGTGAATCTTATCAATCTGTTTTACCTGAAAAAGCCGACGTATCCGGTTGGACGTGTGTTGTTTTGATTGAATCTTCGATCTCTCTTTAGACTTGTGTGTGCATGCGCGCGCGGTGCCGTGACTCGTGTGCGGCCCATCCCGCCTCAAAGGTTCCCTTCCCACGGACCAAGCCCGAGGCTCTTGTAGAGTACCAGTTCGTGCCGTGACGAGAAGTGATCGGCGGTCAATTTGTACTCTAATTCAAGCGCTTAGATCGGGCTGTTGAAATCACATGGGATAAGTTTTTCCATGATTTTCCAACTTTTCCAAGTAAGCTTGCATCGGAGGTATGTTGCCATGTTCGGCAGGCGACAAGAGACACCGATGAGGGGTTGGGATTTTGGTGTGTGAGTGTTGGAGAACCGCATAAACGGCACTGCCAGGAGCTGAACAGCAACGGCCACCCTGTTGCGCTGAGGTGGTGTGGGCGTCATTTATGTTTTGTTGGTTAGCGGGACTGCCCGCAAAAAATAAGTCTTAGCTTCTTCTCATTTATATTGAAAGAGCAAACGATTGAGAATTGAGTTTGCGGGCTCTCTCGGCCGGATTGACGGTTCGGGGAAGTCGGATTCCAAGAGATTGTGATTGCCTTGATGTGCGCTGTTCCTGGGCGATCCGCGTGTTAGTGGCCTTCGTATGCTCGGGTTCGCAGATCACTCCTGTCGCATCACAACACATCGCAATTCATGAAGCCTCGAGTTCAAGATATCAATAATGGTTATGTATTAAGGAGCCGTCGTCAGAGGAAACCCAGTCCTCGCTCCATACTAAGAAGTTATGTGCATGAAAGTCATCCCTGAGGCCGGAACAAGTAGTCGCTTGCCTCCCGATTAAAATAGTAGAATATCATCATCCCATCATTCCCCGTACTATCAAGGCAAGCAAGCTTACAAAGCAGCCTTGCCGAGGTTGTTGTTGAAGTTGGCCTCCTTCATGGGCACGTTGGCGCTGCCAAAGTCGGTGTTCTCGAGCGCGGTGCGGGCAGCGTCGGTGAGCGACTCCCAGGCGATGAGGGGCTGCTGGCCGCCCTGGTCGCTGGTGAAGATCATCTGGTGGTTGACGGGCCAGATGCTCTGGTAGCCGACGCGCGGGTGCGTGGTGTCGGTCCAGCTGATGCCGGAGGTCTTGGTGTCGTACTCGCCGTGCGCGGAGACCGCGACGCCGAGGACGGTAGCGGAGTCGGAGGCGGCGGAGAGCCAGACAACGGTGTTCTCCCAGTCGTGGCGGTGGCCGAGGCCGGACGAGGGGGAGTCCTTGGGCATGTAGTAGGAGTACATGATGGCGTAGGCGCCGTTGTAGGAGCCGCCGCGGGCGTAGACCTGGCCGGTGGAGGAAGAGCAGCCCCCGTTGGAGGAGCCGGAGGTGGCAAGGCCGCCGCTGGAAGGTGTTAGTGTTCTGTGTGAGACGTGAAATGAGAGTGAGAGAGCATACCCAGTGTTGCCGGCGGCGTCGACGGCAGGGAAGGGAACACAGCCGTTCACGACCTTGAGGTAAGGCTTGTACTTGAGGTACAGAGCACCGACAGTGCCTGAGGGGACGGTCTCAGGGAAGCCAACGACGGCATCGTGGTCGATGACGGCACGAGCCTGGATGGGGGCCGCGGAGACGAAGCTGGCGGCGGCAGCAAGCCACGAGGCGAGGCGGAGGACGGAAGGGGCCATTGTGACTTTTTGGGGATGACTTGTCGAAAGTCAAGCTTGATGTGAAGAAGGGATCGGGTTGAAGCTGCCGGATGTGCGGTACTAGATAAGAAGATCTCTGAGACGAACTGGGGGATCGTCTCTAAATATGTCTATCTGATCTTCTGAAACTGTCACCACTGCAGCTGACGGGAGTGACGTGTGGGAGGGGGCAATAATGACTCGGTGAGGCAAAGCAGGCAAGCGAACTTGGATGTTGTTCAAGAAGGGCCTGTTCCTGCGTCCGATCAGCGTCGTCTTGCATATCTTATAGTCACATTTCGTTTCTTGTCTCGTCCTCTCAGGACATGCAAATCATCCACGAGACACTCGAAGAGCGCTGCTGGGGTCCCATTACGCCCCTCTCGACGAACCAGAGATCAATATTTCCCACCAGGCTAGGTAACAATCATCTCCGAGGGCCATCACATCCTCCTCTCGCCCAGAGGAAAAGGGTCTGAGAATCGGTCACATTGGTGCCCTCTCGACCCCGCCCGTGGCACGGCGTAGTGTCGCGATTGGGCCAGGTCATGTTTGCAAGTGCCGTTTGCCGATGGTGCTAATGAAGCGTTTCCCGCTGTCGAATATGGGCCTGAGCAAGCCCCTGGCGGGATGCCGAGACGATATCGTGGGATTCTAGTGAGCAGCCTAGAGGGAGCTTGCGCAGCTGCCGCCTTTAGCACGGCGATTGGGGGCCATTGAGGAGAAACAGGAGGGTGGTCGGGCCCAAGGGTCACCGTCTGGCAGGGGAGCATTCGCTGCTAGATGCATTTAGGTACCGAGCTGATCCCTGTCGCTGTGCCTGCATCTGGCATCTTGGTCCGGTGCCAGTGAGGGAGCCATGTAACCTCGATATCCAACTCCTGTCGTTCCCCGCCCGAGCTTCTCCTCGTGGTCTCGTTGTCTGGTCTCCAAGCGGTCTGACGGATTATGGATATGCGTCGTCGGACATGGTGCGATTTGAGTTGTGTGGGGGTGTCGCATGCTTGCAAGTTGCAGCTTGGGTGCTTGGAAAGAAGAAAATGCGGTCTTTTTTCTGTTTCTTCACCGAATTGCGCATTCTCCCCGAGCTCTCGCGGGAACGACACAAGGGTGATGGCTGAATTGATCTGCGTCATCGACAGCGGTCGGGAGGCGAGCATGAAAGATCGCTTGACGCATCCCGCCTCAGCTGGCGGCGAGGTTATGCGCCCGCGAATCAGGCGCGACCGCAGCCGCTGAGGAACATGGCCGACGGTCGTGACGGAACTGGGTTGTTTGCCTCTCTGGCGTCGCAGCGTGGGCTGAGTGATGGGGGTCCGTTTTAGTTTTACAACAGTTTCGCGCGCTCGCCATGCTCTTGGGGACTGTTTTTGTCGGGGCCCCATGTGGCGAGAGATATATATCGCAGCTACGTATATGCGAAAGAGTCGTATTTGGGGTGGGGTCTGCAAATGTCTTTATTGAAGCTCCTTTGGGCTATTGTGGACAAGCTTTGGAGTCCACATGGCAATCGGGTGGCCTTCTGGTCACTCGGCCGAAGACAAAATGTTCGTGTCAAGGCTGTCGCCTGTAGGTGAGAGGTTGGCTGGCGTGGCCCCGGCGTCCTCTTTTCCAATATTTCAATCTGCCCGAGTCAGTCGTCGGCAGCATCCGGATCCGGGGTTCCAGATGAGCTCTTTCAATGGGTCCCAAAAGTGTGGATGGGCCAAAAGACTCAAGACCAGGTGATGGGAAATTGCGTTTGTGGATGCTGGCCCAGGTCTTTATCGTGTAGAGGAAATGAAGACGACAAGTCAATTGCTTGTGTCTGGGCAAAAAAGTTCCGAACGAACAGACCAACACCCAAAGAGCAGGTGCAATGAATGCTGCGAGTCATCGACATGGTGTTATTACATATCTAGATCCCGTAGAGGAATTGAGATGGGTATCAAGCTTTCCGAACATCGTAAACACGATCCGTAACAGATCATCGCCCTCCGAAATCAAGCCCTTGGTGGGCTATCCCTTCCTGGCTTTCCAGGTAAACGGCCATTAAATCAGAAAAATCAAACTGTGCGCCAAATCTTAGCTAAAGTCCCACGACTCTCCCCACAACTCGTTCAAATTCAATCCCAGAGCTTCAAGACTAAAGTCGGGATTGAACGACTGCTGCTGCGTCTTTGCCGCCAACACACTGTCAGCAACGAGTGCTGGGGAGAAGTCTCCGTGAAGACTCACCTGCGGATCCATGGATGATGACATCCAAGGTAGCGGTTGAGGCAGCAGTCCGTCGACCGTGTTGTGAGACGACGGGTACCCCTGGAAGGAGAAGGGCGTGACGGACTTGAGCGGTTCAGTCAGTAAGTGTTCGTTTGTGCGGAACTGATTGCGGAAGATGCTCACCTTTGGTCTTTCGGGAACCTCCAGGCCGGGGATCTTGGAGAGCTCCGATTGCTGGCTCGATACCGGCGGCTCCTGGTTCGCCAGCAGCTTGTAGTGCAAGTTGACAAAGCGTTCCGCGGACGACGCCTTCGCTTGCTCCGTCGTCTTCGTGCCCAGATGGGCCTCGAGCAGGCCGAGGGATGAGCACATGATGGAATAACCCCATGGCTCGTTGTTGCCGGTCCGCAGCAGCCTATCCTCCTTCATCAAAAGGCACTTCTCGAGCAACTTCACCGTGTGCTGGGAGTTGATCATGATCATGTTGGTCGAGCCGCGGGGCTGCAGCATCGTGACACTGCAGAGGTTGACGGCCGTGGTGAGGGTGTCTTCGCGAAGGAAGTTAAGGCAGCGGATGCCCTGCTCATAGAGCTTGTCGTGCAGGAGCACGATGTCTCGGGCGGCGTTGTAGTAGATGATTTCGGAGTACTGGTATTTGGCATTCGACTTTCGCAGCTTGAGGAACGGTTGGTGCAGAGGAATGATGTACTGACGGAGCTGGACGTGGAGGAGGGTGTAGGCGAGGAGCGGACGCTTGCCGCCGTGGGTGTTGTTGTTGTTGTGCTCCCAAGATGGCAGAGAGTCGATCTCGTGGGTGATGTCGTTCGTATACCTGATGACTTGATCGTAGTCGATCTCCCCAGGTGGGCCACACAATAGCCTGCTCAACTCCATGCGGAGGGGCAGACTCTGGCGAGCGAGATTCTGGTAGGAGGAGAAAGTGTACTCCTTTCCGTGCTTCGAGGGGGGCAGCTGAGTGGTGTCCTCGTCAAAGTCCTCGTCGTCCAAATTCCTCGGGGGCTGCACGTCGTAGTGCAGTTGGCTAACAAGCGTTGGCAGACCGTGATCGAAGGAGGCCTGCATGTCGAATTCCTGCACCGTCGCCCATATCCTCCTCCTCATTTCCTGGTTGTAGACTGAGATCTTGCCGGACATGTGGCTGGGCTCACGATGGAGACCGACTGAAATTCCATCCTGGATAAGAGCTCCCGAGTTCGTCCAGAAGCGCTTCTTCTTGACCGTGTTGACGCGCTTGCCAAGATACAGGAGGCATGCAATTTGGTAGTGAATGAGCTTTCGGTGCTTCACGCTCTGCTTGTCCTGCCAATCCTCAACGGCTTTGATGTACTTCTCGGCGGTGGTCTGGGCATTGGAGATCATGCCCGTGAACCTCATAGACTCGTGAGTGTGGATGCAGTTTGCAACCGCGATGATGGCCAAGACAAGGGCGGTGAAGGCGGCATAGCGGGACTCGGCAGGGTTCTCCCAGAATTCCGAGTACTCTCTCCTGAAGGTGGGGATGTGAATGATGCGGTGCATTTGCTCGAACTGGTCGATGTAGACCTCAACCAGGGCATCGACTTGCTCCTTGGGCGGCAGAAGAGCCTCCAGCCGGGGGTCAGGCTGAGCATAAAACTTGTCGCGGTCCTCCTTGCGCTTCTTACGATCCTTGCGGTCATGAGCCTTCACTGGCTTCAGCCATTCATCTGCTGTCTCCTTCATAAAGGGACACAGGCCAGTCAACTGGAATGAAGTCAGATAAATGTCCTCCATGAAATCATTGAGGCTCCCGGAGGAGCTCGATAGACCTACCTCGATGAACGCCATCGTGGCGTTGTGAGGACCGAAATACCTCGTCCTGAATTCCTTGCCTCTGAAAAAGCGGAGCTCTGAATTGGCGCCACCGTCGCTGTACTGATGCCAGCACTTCTCCATTTGGTGAGTGTTGGCGCATGGATCATTGGCGGGCGTGTCGGTGGACTCATCCTTCTGAGTGTGCGGTGAGTTGGTGCCGGCAACTGTGCTGCCATCGAAGCTGGACATGGCCTGTCGGGTGAGTTGAGTCTTGAGCTGAGCGACTTCCAGCTCGAGACGGCGGATGCGGTCGTGGTCCTTGGCCGCCTCCCGGACCAGGGACATGTCGGTTTCCTTGGTGCCGCCCATGGCCAGTTCACCGTTCCTCCGAGAGTCCAGCTGGGCAAACGCGGGGGGAACTCCTGAGCTGGCGTTCAGAACGACGCCAGACTTGGTCTCGTAGGTGCAGCGGTCAGGAGTGCCGCTCTTCAAGCACCGCTGGCACGGATAGCCACGGTCACAAGAGAGCTTTCTTCGGCGGCACTCTAGACAGCTGAGACGCACACGCTGGCGTTTGCGGGGGTGTTGGCTGTTCTCGTCGTCATCTCCCCGGGAGTTGGTGGGAGAGAGACTGTCGTTGTCGTCTACTGAGGGGGGCGACATTTTGTCCTCGTTGGGCATTTTTTTTCTTTCTTGATGCGGGCTTATCGATTGCAACGCAGCGAAGAAGAATGATCAAAAACGAGGGAAAAGTGTGCCGCGCGCAACACTTGCCACCAGCATGGTTATAATAAAAGTACAGAGTGACAAACTCAAGTCAGGCTCCGGTCCGGAGCGTTCTTTTTCACCTGCCGTTTGCTGTCAAGATGTACTGGAGAGGCCAAGGGAAGAAACTTGCCCCTGTCAGGCAGTTCGAGTTAGAGCCGAGGCTGCGACGCGTGAGGCTTAACAGCGTGCAACCTATTTTTAGGTGCACGATTGTTAGAGGGCGCCCAGAAAGCTTACCTAAGACCGATGTCTCCGAGCACCGAGGTGGTATAACCGAGCAGCGCCGAGCCAGAATTTCCACTAATAAGTGGGGCATCTGATAAGATTAGATCGGGCCTTCCCCCCAATTGTTCTCCATCTCTTGACTCACACTGCAGGGATCTCCATCAGATAATTTGCTCTCTGCAACCCACAAACCGAGCGAAATACCACGCAGTAAGCCGACGCAAGACGCGCGGTTCCCACCAGCTTGACATAAATCGAGATGGCATGCCCTGGACTGCCATCATCCTCGTCGATTGTGTTGTAACGTCGTGATGGGGGGATTGCGAGGGCATTGAGTAACCCCACGACGCGGCCTCGTTAGACCGGACGAAGGAAGCCATACAGACTACACAACACACAAGGACAAGGCCAGACACTCGCCGGACGACGCCTCTTGATCCTTCTGTCGTCTAGTCGGCAACGCGGCCGTCCAAGCAGCCCAAACACTGTCATCATCTGTTGGAGTCATACATCCTCAATTGGCATGGCGACATCTCAGTTTTTCCCCTCTCAAAGTCCGCCTCCGTCTCTCCAGGGATGCGATGCATGCACGACGCTACTTTGCCCGTACCGACGGGTGTGAAAAAAAGCACCTGCAGCGGACGAGTGTCAGGCTGTGCCACACCGATTGACACTAGGCGCTGCCGACCATTCCGGGTTCGTGATGCCCCCGTCTCCATCAATGGATCTTTTTTGTCATTCGAACCTACGGTGAACCCTTGGCAGTGCCATTCGCATTGGGTCACGAAATGATCACCGGCATGCGAAGCGAGAACTTTTGATTCTCGTAAACAAGTTCCCGCCACCACCGATAGTATGCTGCATCAGTCAGAATTCATGCATCCCATCCTGTCAAAGATGACAGAACGGGATCTGCTGGCATCGATGCTGCCAGCGGACAAAGACTGATGCGATGACCCCAACACCAACCCCAACATCGACGTGGAAGGACGGACCGCATACCTCGGGACCCGAAAATCGTCGTCTGCAAAAATTTCACCTCGAAGCCCAACCCAGCTGCTCAAGGAACAAGGGGGGCAGGCACGCGAGCGAGCGGTTAAACACGAGTGGGGTCATAGTTTGCAATTGCAGGAATGCATCACGAAAGAGACTGATCTTTCCGACCACTCATATCGCGCAGCAGCTGCAGGCGGAATGGATCCCTCCCCGTCCCAGCAGACACGAACACCCCACAAGTTTCCGAAAAAGCTTTTCGAAGACCCGACGGGCTCCAGCCTGGTGTGATCGCCCGCAGCGGCTACGCAAACACGCAGGCCTCCTCACCAAGTTTTTTTTTCTTCAGTCCACATTTAAAGTTATCAGATCAAAATCCTTGTCGATGGCGGATCAGCACTCCGAGATCGGTGCAGGGTCCCTATTCGTGCCTTGGTCCGGTCACAGCCACAAGGAGGCTTCGGGAGGCTTTGGGAGGCTTTGGCAGGTTTTCGTAGGCTGCCTGGCAGATGGCAGATGGGAGCTGGCAATGGCCACGCTGGAAGCGTTTCAAGGGGATCGACGTCAAACGCTGCACGGGATGCTGGCTTGCCTGCGCGTGCTGCGCGACACTCCTCGGCCGCCATGGCCCCGGTGAACTGTAGCATTGTGAGACACGTACCGGAGCGGAAGCGAGCTCGTGGCGACACAATGTGTTTGCTTTGCTGCGATTATGGCATTTCGCCGCGAAAGCCGTGGCTTCTGGCCTTCAGAACAAAACAAAACAAAACAGCTTCCTCTTGAGAGATTCGACCTTTCCAATATCACCGATTGACGACTGCAATGCAATAGCGGACGCCAAGAACACATGATGCGCCTCTCTCTCGCCTTGCTCTCGGGATTTCTCGCGATCTCTCAAGCCAATCATATCCCCGGTAGGAGCTTCGATCGATTGATTTCCATCTGGCTGGAAAACCAGGTATGCAGCCCACATTCCTCCGCCGGCAGCACCCCTTGCTGATATTAGCTGTCCACAGGACTTTGCCAAAGTAGTCAAGGATTCCCACATTGGCGACCTGAAGAAGGAAGGGATTCTGTTAACCAATTATTACGCCCAAACCCACCCAAGCCAGCCGAACTATATTGCAGCTCTTGCAGGCGACTACTTTGGCCTGAACCACGACGAACGCATACGCCTGCCAATAAACGTCTCTACTATCGTGGATCTGCTCGACTGGCGGGGCGTATCATGGAAGGCATACATGGAGGATTTGCCTGGTCCGGGCTACTTGGCCGATGCCAGTGATGGCCAGACGGGCGGCGGCAAGTGGGACTACGTCCGAAAGCACAAGTTGGTTGGCCTGTTGATGAAGTTTGCTTCCGTGGAAACTGATATTCGCGCAGCCCCTTTGTCTCCTTCGACTCCATTAATCTCAACGGAACCCGGCTGCTCAACATCCAGGATTTCCAAGAGTGGAAGACTGACTTCGAGGCCAAGCAAGTACCCCAGTACGTTTTCATGACTCCCAACATGATGAACGACGGTCACAATACCACCCTCGAGTACGCCACCAAGTGGGCCCGCGACTTTTTGAAGCCCATGTTGGCCGAAGACGCCTTCAATGAGAGGACTCTCATCCTCTTGACCTATGACGAGTCCGAAGACAAGGGCAAGCCGAACCAGATCGTGTCACTCTTGATGGGAAGTGCAATTCCCAAGAACCTGAAAGGGACAGAGGACAAGACCTTCTACTCGCACTACTCGATGATGTCAACGGTCGAGTTCAACTGGGAGCTTCCGAACCTCGGGAGGTATGATGTTGGAGCCAACATCTACCAGTTTGCGCAGAACCTCGGAAGCAAAGTTCTCGTATCAAACAAGGACCCGCCTAACATGGCGGACGTGAACAATTCCGAATCGTACCCTGGAGCATTGAACAACGACACTGGCAAGTTCCGTCCGTATCCGCCTCCGAATCTTGGACTCAACGGGTCGAGCGGGCTGCCAATTCTGGAGCATATTCGCTTGCAATGGATTTTCCATAAGGAGGAGACACCGTATGATGGAAAAGGCACTCTCTATGATGCCAGATTCCAACCAAAGTATATACCGCAGGTTCCTGTCAGGCATGGGGCTTGAGCATCGAGAACTTAGACAACTTCGAAAGCTTGCGCCCCGCCGGGTTATGCCGAAGTCTGATCGAGCATCTTATGCATATGAAGCTTTGGCGATTTCCAGCCTCCTTTGATTGCAAATCACAAAGTCATCCTGAGCCTTCTCATACCGCTGCGTGGGCTTCAAGAGCTTGAGAGGACGCTGTCGGCCTCGCGCGGCACAAAAGGGGCACTTCCAATTGCGGTATGGCAACTTGATCGGAAGTTACGTTGCGCAGAGGTGAAGCGCATGGGCTGGTCTTGTGCGTATGTGCTTGACCAGCTCGTGATAGCGTCCGCCCTTAAGATGGAAGGTTGAACGAACACATCGGGCGCATTCTGACCATCACCGGGCTTCAACGGAAATTAATGGTGACACCACTGTTATCCGTTGAATTCAGGCCAGTACATGTGCTGTCAAGCGTCGAACATTCTGGCGTGACTTCTGGAATCCGTTGAACGTTGGCAGCATGAGGAAACACCCAGCTATTACCCGGCTATCACTAGTCTCGGAGGCGGATCGCGCATGTGCCACATGGCAGCACCGGACATTGCTTTGGTGCGTCCCGCCCCAGACCGCACAGCGAAGCCGCCTTTTCGCCGTTTTTCGCAGGTTTAGGTCGCCTGTTGCGGACATTTCACGACTCGCTGATGGGGCAGAATGGTGTTTTCGGCGAGAGCGAAGCACCGCTCGAGTCCCACAGAACCGACCTGTCGCAGCTTCCATGATGTATGTATTTTGTATGATACAATCATATGCATCTCGTCACATGCTAGGGGTCGCACGAGATGATATATCTATAATCTAGATAAGCTCTCATGCAGATATCATGAATGGGCTTGGATGCAGTAGACGGCACTCTAGGGTATCAATCAACTATGACATGCCGTTCCACATCCGATGTTGTAGCTTTTGGAAAGCAAGACGGGCCGGATGCATGCCGGTCAATGTGACGAACGGCGCGGTTGACGCGCATCGTACGTAGGGGTAACTTTATCTGAAGCTATTCCCGAAGCATGCATCACACCTAGTTCATGAGCAAATGCCGACATTTTGACTCTTTCTAGCCTACTGGCCAATGCCGAGATCGTTAAAAAGTCCTCGATTAGAAGTTGCGACCTTTCATGGCAATGTCGACGTCTATCTAGATTCGCTCAATCACAGGATCGATCAGACTGATCGTCACTACGTTGTTGTCAGTGCCAGAATCTAGACCACGTTCCTGCCTGCCAGTATGACTTGCATGTAAGATTCGCAGTCCGAGAGTCGTCTCACCAGAGCCAGCCCTAGCAAATCTCCATGACTCGAAGAAAAGCCACCATTTCTGCTCCGCCGCGTCTTTCAACATCGGCCCCGAAGCGCGGCAATTCCTTCTAGACGCATTTCACAAAGCCGGACCGGCCACGACTTTCTGACATTGAATAGGAGACGAGGAACGCCATTGCGAGGCTAATGACACAGAAGAACGGACTCCTCCTGCGCCACGCCAGCCGCGAGGATTCCTCATTCGCCAGACGTTAATGCGACCGCGGCGACTCTAAGA